GTTTACTAATTGAACTTACATACATATATATTTTCTATAGGAGATATTTTTGAAAGGATGCATTATCATAAGGATATTTGTTAGTATTTTAATCAATAAAGCAATTCCTTTGCAAATTAGTCCATAAATAAAAATCATTTAGGGATTTTAGAAAATCACTGTGAGTTTTAATGTGAGAATATCGATTTCAAGTTCTTGGTTTTGTTTGCTCCTTTATTTATCCAAAACAATCAGAAATTTCCTTTCTTGTGCAGGAGATGTAACAAACAAATGTAATGAGTGGATAATCCTGAGATGCGCTGGCTATTATATGTCAAAGAGAAGTATAACTCTAACGGATGTGAAGTGCATGTGGGATAGTGCTGCTATTGAAAAATAACAGCATAAACTCTCTGTGTTGCATTTTCATAGGCAATGGGAAAAGGAGTTACAGAAACTGAAGCAAAAGCATGCATATGATATTAAATGTCTGAAACATCACATTTAATAGAAAATACAGGACTTATGCAATCATGTGAGTGCACTGGCTAATACATAAGAAGTGCAATCAACTGCCCTATTGGGCTAGATTGCTCACTCTTTTCAGCATGTATGCTGTTATGGTTTGTGTCTAGCTATTCCCCCAAAGCCTCATGCAGTCAAGGAGAGGGCTTCTAAAGTTTAGGAATGATTGATGGTGCAATGCTGGGATCCTGAGTGTGAGCGCTACACCTGCCCTGGGGAGGTAGTTTGCATACAATATAAAGGAGGGAAAGAGGCTTACTCTCTGCTGCTCCTCCCTCCTTGCTCTTGCTGCTTTTGCTATTTTCTGCCACCATGAACGGTTGCCCTCTGCCATGTGCCACCCTGCCTTGGAACCAGCCAAGTATGGACTGACCTCTACAAATGGTGAGCTAAATAAACCTTTCCTTCCCTAATTCTGAGCATCAGATATTTTATCCCAACAATGAGTGAGAAATAATTAAGACAGAATCTGGTGCCAGAGAAGTGGGATCATTGGGGTGTCTATATCTGACCATTTGGTTCAAGAGCCTTTGGAAATGGCTTGTAGGAACAGTTTGGAAAGGCTCAGAGATTTTCCCTGAAAAAGAAGCACTGGAACACTTTTGGCTGTTGTGTATGAGGGATTCTGTTCAGTGCTTAGAAGGCAAGAAGGCTGAGAGAAATCCTGGTGGTAAAGACCAGGCTTTTGCAGTTTCTACTGGGAAGAGGACTGCATCGGTTGTTGAACTCCAGATAATGTATGTTATGGCTTAGCAAAGAGCTTGTCTGCATTTTGTTCCTGCCCAGAGATTTTGCCTAAAATGGAGACTGAGGGTGGTAGACCAATTAATCTGGCAGAAGAAATTTCAAGGCAGTTTAATGCTGAGGCTGTGGCATGGCTATTATTGGGAACTTTTAGCCAGATTTATGCTGAGAATCAAGAGCAAAGACCCCAGATTTAAAAAAGTGAGTTTGGTCATAAAAGAAAGCTCCAGTAAATATGTGGACTACAAACATGAAACTGAGATCTCCATTGCTGAGAAGAAATGGGAGACTATAAAGCCGGCTTGAGGGCAACACAAGAAGCAGCCAGTCTCCATCTTTTGCAGCGTCGAACCTGCAAAGGTGAAAGGCTTTGCACTGAGAAGAAAGTCACAGGGCACCATGTTCCATAATGGTGGAGGCCACACTACGTTCCAGAATGCCAGCAGCAGCCATAGTAGGGCCCAAAATGATGGCAACCTAGAGAATTTATTTCTCATAATTAGGTTCAGAGTGCTCAGCGATCCAGGCACTCAGACCCTACAGCCAAGAGAGACAAAAGCCTGGCTACTGCTCCAGCTGGCAGTGGACCTGGGCATCATCCACGTGGCACTGGTTTTAGGTGCATGCAGAATTCAGTTCTGAGATTAAAGAGGCTTCCACCCAGATTTCAGAAGCCTGGGAGGCCAGGCAGTGTGCCCCTGAGAGGGCAGTGTGTGAAGCTGTGAATGAAAAACCAGAGGTTTTTCTGGGAGACCCCAGAAGTTTGGAGAAGTCAGAAACATGGATCATCTAGGGAAAGTTGCAAGGAGGGAGCAAAGCAGGCCTAAGAGAGAAGCCGTGGTAGCCTCATCCACAGAAGTGCCGTAGGGGTGGAGCTGTGTAAGGTCTTTGGAGCTCACAAATTATCACAGATTGCTTTAAATGTTCCACATGGAATTACAGGACTTAATGTTTGTCCTGCTGCATTTTAGACTTGCTTTGGCCCCAGTACTTTGTATCCTCTTGGTTGTACCTTTTGGAATGGAATGTTTATGGTGTACCATTGAATGGTGGAAGTGTTTAACTTTTCATCTGTACAGGATCTCACAGCTAAGAGTTTGCCTTAGATCTCAGAGGAGGCTGATGACTTGGACTTTTCAGCAATGCTGAAAGTATTAGGAATTTGGCACCTCTTAGAGATGAACTAAAATTCCATTTGCATAAATAGATGTGCATGAATCTTTGGGTGGACAAGAGTGGAATGTTATGTTTTGTGTGTAGATGTTCCCGCAAAGCCTCATATGGTCTAGAGTTTATGAATGATTCTTGGTCCAATGCTAGGATCATGGGTATGAGTGCTGCATCCACCCTGGAGAAGGTGGCTTGCATACAATATACAGGAAGGAGAGAGGCTTGCTCTCTACTGCCCCTCCCTTTTGTTCTGATTGCTTTTGCTGTCTTCCACTGCCATGAACTGTTGCTCTCTGTCATTTGCCACCCTGCCTTGGGGCCAGCCGAGTATGGACTGAAACCTCCACCAACTGTGAACTAAATAAACATTTCCTTCCTTGTTTCTGATCATCAGGTGTTTTGTCTCAGCAATGAGAGAAAAGTAACTAACACATATGCCTTCTGCCATGTGTCTTTTACTTTTTGTCTTGGATAAAACAAGTGACTTCCAGGGTTCAAGGAATGCTGACAGACTTTATACAAATTAACCTTAAAAATGGGCTTGCACAGTTGAATTTCTCTTTTTCCGCTTCTGACAATGCCAAAAAAAAGATTGTACTGACTACCTTGCTGATACATAGACTATGGGAGACAGATGGAGTAGAGTTCCGTTTCCATTTCCAGATGCACTCACTGTACACACAAATACACAAATGCACAAAGGGGAAGAAATGACGCTATTAAAATGTAGAGAGTAGGGTATAGTTTGTTTCACACTATTCTGCGATAGTTGAAACAAAATGGTAAAGTGCAAATTGCAAGCTACACTCAGAATGTGGAAGGGCATAGATTTGGACATTCATTCTTCTACAAGGCACTGTTCCCTTTTGGATACTATATATTCACATATTAGGTTAAACTGGACATTAACGTTAAAATAAAAGCAGGTTTCAGCATCAGTGATTGAGAAGCTGCACTGCACAATTATTTCAACATTATTTGTGGTATTGCTGAATTTGCATATTGTTGATCTTTTATTACGATTTTAAAATCTTATTCTCTTCCTGTTTTTAAAATCAGTTCAGGGGCTGGGGATTTAGCTCAGCGGCAAAAAGCGCCTGCCTGGCAAGTGCAAGGTCGTGAGTTCGGTTCCCGGTACCGGAGAAAAACCAAAAAAAAAAAAAAAAAAAAAAAAAAAAATCAGTTGACTATCTGAAGTAACAATTATAACACTTCATTATCAAATTTATATTATGTAAAGATACATTACGTAAAATTACATCAAATATGGCATATATTGAAGCCATACCACTATATTTTACCCAAATAAAAAGTATATAAATTTTTTCTGTGAAATTATTGTTATAATCTGTGTGCTTGACTTCAGTTTTTGGTAAAAAAGTTAGATCATACAGGTATTAAAATTTATAGAATGCTGAGAAAATTCCATGAATAAAGTAGAAATCATAAAAAGTTAATATTCTTTTAAACATTTGAGATTATAACAGAGTCCAGTGATACAAAATATTAAATAGAAGAGACAATTGCATTCAGTGCCTCTCTGCAACACAGGTGAGCTACTTGGAGACAAGTGATTTTAAATGTGCTTTCTCATATAAGAAATTTTAAAACAAAATGAAAATGTACATAATTATAGTTTTCCTGATATGACATATTGATTACAATTCTTCAAAATTTTAGTCTATATATAATTATACCTTTAAAAATTATAAAACAAATACAAAGAAAATTAAGAAATACTCAGTGTGTCAGCATTGTCTCACCTCCTGCCTAATAAATACAAAGGGACATGTAATTATCTCAGCAGAGTTGTGTAGCTACACAAAGTCTATTAACAATATTTTTATCAGCTCTATTTTCACATTAAGTTACATATATAAAATTTCACAAAACCTTTCTTCTCCAAGAGTTAATTTGGTATGTAAGTGGATGAAAGTATATGAACTATTAGAAATAAGGAAAATCTTCCAATATAAATGATAATAATTTTGTTATTAGATACTATTTTCCATAAACGAGCTTTCATTTATCACCATTCTAAAAGACATGAAGAATACTATTATTTTGAAGTATTTGAATTCTTATAGAGATATCGTGATTACATGGTCACTAATAATGTCATGATATGACTGATAAGTAAAGCACAGGCTTACTGTTTTAACTTCTCTTATTTCTTATATGTCATGGGGTCATAAAGTAATTCACAATATTATTTATATAGTTTTAATCATTTCTTCTTGAAAATGACACTGAGTACATTTTGATGTATTTTCCTGGTAAAATTAAATGGGTATATGATCTTGAAATGACAGTTGCCAATGATAGAAGTTAAATTTCAATTTGAATCAGTGAACTCAATGTCTCCTACTGTCTGCTGATACGTAGTAAATTGATTGAAGGTAATAAAAATTACCAAATATTTATTTTTTGAAACATTTTCTCTATGGTACAAGAGGGGAGTGAGCATTCAAAAATGACCATTCAGTTATGTTTTCCATTGCCTTGGCAGAAGTCTGATTGGGTATTAAAATAATTACCGACTACCTTTGCTTTCTGACAGTTGGATATTTTTTACTTCAAAGGCAAATCCCTCTTGAAGTAATAGAACAACATGCTTAGAAGTGTGGAGTGCAATAGAGCTGAAAAATGAAAAACCAACAGGCTGAGATGCTGGCTTCTTCCAGAAGGGCAAGAAAAAGGTGAAAATGCAAATCCTATGCAGTACACATGATTTTCTACAAATCAAAATTTTATGTCTAACATTAATAAGATTTAATTTAAAGATGTTGCTTTATGTAACAAACTAAATTCTGATGAAATTTGTATTTCTGAGTACTATTCTAGAAGTTCATCATATTTGTGTGCAAGTTTTGATTGAAAAAAGGCAGTGAACTTGATTGTAGTAAGAAGTAAACACAAAACTGATAAAGTATTTTGAGAAACAAAACAAATGACAATTTTTAAGGAATAAACTTATGCACATTTTAGAATTTATCATTATTTATTAGATTCCTTTCCAGTTGCAATACGTAAGGTTCTTTGTCTTACTGTCATTACAGACTTTTAAATAATCATACATGGGTGCTGAAATTTGAGATTTAATGTAGAGTCTGCACATGATGAAAACCTGTAAAAGCTATTTTTCACAAATATTAAAATAAACTCATCTGCACACTACAGTCTAAAGTTTCTGACTGAAGGATTATTTTCAACCTTCATGTAATCTAGTTTTGACTAATTTGATGCTTTATTGACTTACCCTATAAACTAGCAGTCATGAGAAAATGACTATCAATATTCCCTATTTTATTTAAATATAATT